TAGTATGTGTTTTGTGAGATGGAGGACTTTGTGGATTGGTGTTGGACACATGGGTTAATGTTGGACTGTGGGCTTGGGCAGCAGTGGGCTGTGCACTTACCCTTTATATAAAACTCTCTCTCATACATGAGTTGCTGTGGATTTTTTTCTCTAAAGTTCCCAGACTAACTCAGTTGGTTGTTGAAGGAATGGGTGGCAGAATTTATAAAGATCTTCAGACAGTAGCACCATTGGCTTTTCTTCTTGCTTTTTGTTCAATGCCATTTTTCATGTGGATTTTAAAACCCTGAACTATTTCATTAACCTCTGAGATAATCTGCTCCAATACACACTGTCAACTCTAGACTTTCTTTAGCACTCGGGAAGCACCTTGTGCTTAAGCCCACTTTAGTTTGGTGTCACACTCATGCTGGGAGTGGTCACAGGTGACCACAGCCTTCCAAAGTCTTCATATACAAAATTTTCAACCTTACAGCAAACAAGAGAAAAAGCACCTTGCTCATCAGTTCCTTCGGTGCTGGGATTCATGTATTTGCAAATACACCTAGGCTAGAGCATAGTATTAAAGAATGACCATCTCCAACAGACCCTGCAAAGCTGCCATTCTGAAGTGCTGCTCTCTGTCCGCATTCGCTTGAAAAGGCCACACTCGGTTACAGTCTCTAGGTGATGGCCTGGCCATTGGTCCTTGTTACAACTGACTACAGGCATTATGTCCCTGCTCATGCTGCCACTGGCAAGGTAATTCTTAATAGCTGTGGTACTTATATAATTGTTAATTTGAGAGGAGTACTAGTGAAGGGGTGTCTAGTCTGTCAATCGAATTCTAGCCAATGAGGCTTCTGTGTGGGCATAGCCTTCTCCTGAGAATTCTGGTAGTTTCTCCTTGGAGGTGGGAGACATTTCTCTCTCTGACACTCTGGGAGACACAGCAGCTGATAAAACACATGGACCCACCCTGATGCAGACACGTCTGCCAGCACTGAGATGTTTCTAATGACACTGGATCCAAAGACCTTTCACCCACTGGCCTGTGATCTTCTACATTCAGCGTTATTACATGTGTTTCGCGAGTCTGAAGAGGACTTTATAGATTGGTATCGGACATATGGGCTAATATTGGACTTATGGACTTGATCTGGACCGGACTGGGATGTTTTCTCAATGTTCAATTGCTCTTGTATGTAAATCTCTTTCTTATACACATATGTGTATCCATGGATCTGTTTCTCTAGTCTACTCAGACTAACACAATAGCATATTCAAATTTTAATCTACTAGACTTAAATTCCAGACTAAACAAATTTTTGTGTATTTTCAAATTTTGACTTCCAGTATGGGTGGGAAAAATTAAGAGTGATTTTTAAAAAATTAGGGATTAATATTGTCTTTTCCTTATACATTAAGTACATGGTATCTTAAAATAAACATTATGATTAAGAAGCATGGAGATATGTTATAAACTCTTTATTATCTGAAATGTCACAAACAATATCTGCATTTTCGACTGTAGAACTCAAATCAAAGGGCATATTTCCCCTAAATTGCCTTAAAGACTGTATGTAAAACATTCAAATATAAGATCGGGTTAAAAAAAGCCAAAGGAAGTAGGGAGAAGGAAGATTTAAAAACTATGGGGGGAAAAAATGTAGTAGGATGGCCAGATAAAATGCAAGACAGCCAGTTGCATTTAAATTTCAGATGATAAATTTGGAGTATATATCCCAAATATTGTAAATACCAGGAGATTATCTGACACTTAAGTTAACTGAGCCATCTTTATTTTTAGTTGCCGCATGACTCTGTCTTCAGTAAACTACTTATCAGGGAAATAAATGAGTAAACATAATATAAGGAATAGGTGCTAAGTCCAGTAATACAATCAAGGGAGGAAAGGATTTCTAGTAAGTACTATAGAAAAGTACCTGGGGGAGAAGTGGCCATTGATGCAATCCTTAAGAGACAGGTGAATTTGACTGATGAATAGGTGGTTTAGTGCGATGATTTTGGGGTTCCAGTATCCTAGGTGAAATCTCAAATTCAACACTCACTAGCTGTGTTAACATTGGACAAGTTAATCTCTATTGTAAAAGGACACTACTGCTTTACTAGGTAAAGGAACAGGTAACATATGCACAAAGCACCTGGACCATAGAGAGCATGCCCTAAAAACGGTAACACCTTTACAACCTAAAACACCTTGTAAAAGGGGGACTTATAACAAATATTCAAATGTTTATGTTGTACAGTAATAGTTAAATCGAATAAGCACTTTTATTTCCATGATCTATTTACACTATACAAACACTGTTGAAAAGCACCCTACAAGTTCATAGTGCATTACAATATATTTTAAAAATATTCCTTTATAAAAGGTTCATAGAACAATGACTTATCAACATGCCAAAACTCTGAAAGCATGTCATCAATTCTGTGATAATGAGAATGCTTCCAAGTGCTGTCAATTCCACAATCACAAGTCACCATTTGACTTTTAAATAAAAATGAATTCTTCAATGGAAAGTTTCTAGGATAATACTTAATTTACAGTATCAACTTTAATTATGTCCAAAGAAACACTTCAACAAGTTCCGCAGTCCAGAAATTCACGTTTGTTGTTTTCTATTTTTTCTTCTTTGCTGGTTCTCCTGATTCCATCTTACGCCTTTTAGACATATGCTCTTCTTTTTCATCATCTTTAAATAGGAAAGAAGAGTTTTAATCAGTAAAGAAAAAATGTTATTAATTATAATGTCCTAGACTATAGGAAATTATCACCTGCCTCAACTGGTTTTTTTTACTGAAAAAATTAACTTTTAGAGTTCTGACTTAAAAAAAAAAATCGTGACCTTAAAGTAAAAGGGAAAATAAGGAATTTAAAAATATACAACAAGTTACTATTATTAAATAACTCTCAGGTGTCTTTTCTGTCAGTAGGCTTTTTCTCCTCTAAAAACTTCCCTCCCCAGCTCATAATTTCCAAAATATTGATTATCTTGGGATAAGATCACTCAGGGGTAGAGATTTCATTGAATTCCTAGTTTCAAATTCGTTCTGTGTAGTTTAAGATACCAGGTAGGGCACTGATTAAAGCACCAGACAGCCAATGGAAAAGTTGCTGGTTTGAACCCACTAGCCACTGTCCAGAAGACGCTGGGACAATTACAGCCTAGGAGACCACTATGTGGAAGTTACTACTCTGTCCTTCAGGGTCACTATGAGTCCCAATCGACTGGACCAAACCAAACTCACTGCCATCAAGTCGATTCCAATTCACAGCAACACTACTGGACAAAACGGAATTGCCCCTATGCGCTTCCAAGACTTTAACTGTTTACAGAAATAGTCTCATCTTTCTCTTGCTGACCTTGCGGTTAGAAGTCTAGCACACAATCCACTACGCCACCAGGATTGTAATCCACTACAGCAGGGTTATCTTTTCCAGCTTGGTATCTAGTTTTACCTTCTTACCCCACTCTTAGAAGGGTCAGAAGATGCTAAAGGCAATGGGAAAGTACACAACCCCTCTTCACACTATGGAGAACTTGGGAGCAAGGGTGCTGTGAGAAGACCCTCACAGTAAAATAATGCTCCTGATTTCCACCAACAGTCCCTCCCGGATGGTTAGTATGGTCTGTAGTCAAAGAAAATCTCCTACTAATAAGGAGACTACAAAACTCAAACAAGTGGATTCACTTATACCTATTAGATTAAGAAAATGGAACTACCTGGTTAAATAAAAGCAGGGTGGCACACACCAGCCACAGCTCCCACCTACAACTGCATGATATATTTTTAAAAACTGTTTATAGACAAGATAAATAATATGCAGATATTGGGTTTATAAAATATAAATTTGTTAAGCATATTATAGAATTCACTGTAATCTTGTTTTCTCGATCAACAAATACTGAAAAGTTGAAGTACTGTACTTTCATGTCAGGTGGTCTATGCAGTACTCGGATGTTGACAGTACTCCATATTCAAACTGCGGAAAGCCACTGACACCTGATCATCAATGCTTGAAAGGAAATATATCAAGGCTTGAAATCCATTCTCAAGCCTTCAACTAACTATGCATTATTCAGAATATCTCCTTTGTTGATGTGGGCAATAACTGGTATCGACAGTAGTGTTAATGCTATTCATATATTTCATGGATATGGGTTTATTTAGGCAGTGAGATACAATGATTTTCAGATCAACAACTCATCAAAGGAATTTACAAGCCAAACCTTTAATCAGTATTTTTATCATATATACACAAAAATACTAGCTCTCCAAACCAACAATACAACTTACAGCTCAAATAAGTCAAGGCCTTTGTTTTTAAATTTGAGTTTAATTAACACCATGCTATATTTTGTCACTATACTCTTCAAAAACGTTAACAAAAAATTTCAAAGTACTTGCTCTCATACTGAAAAATCCAGTGTTAACGTACATTAAAAAGATGAACAAGGAGACACTTTCACTTGTCATTGGGCACTTAAGACAAGTAAATTTAGTGAATAAAATGAACTACCGTGATTGGACAGTCACTGATTTGAATAGAAGCGCAAGTGCCACCTAGTGACAAAGACAAGGCATTGCTTTAAAAAATGTTGCAAGGGAGAGGGGGGAACAAAACCCTTGAAAATGTTCACTCATTTATTCTACAACGGAGCTTGCACTGTGTGCCAGATATTGGGAACGCCCTCGTGAGGAAGCAGTTTTTCTAATACGGCACTCACGTCACGTACGGTCAATAAATGTAACTTACTGCTGCATTGGGACAGTTCTGCTGGCTTCAATCATGGCCAAGAAAGAAATGCTGGCACAGACTCGAATGTTTCACATTTGGCTGAACTATGACAATAACTAAATAGGGTAAATTATGGGTAAAATTTAACCTCCCCTTTAGGGCAGCGAACACCTTGCATAGCAACCAAATCTCTCACCCACAGAGTCGGAAACACCAGGGCCAGCTTGGAGGTGGTGGCCACTGCCTGGCTTTGCATCCAGCTTTGCCGATAGTCCAGTCTCCCGCATGAGCCTCCTAAAAGAGCTTACCATACTTTTTCCAAATCTGCCTGGCCTGCACTTCCACTCATAATTCTTCCCCTTAAATGACTATTCTGGTTCATCCAACTTTTAAAAATTTAGATCTCTTCCAGTTTTGCTTCTTAGACACCATGACTAAATAAGAGTCTGAATTGATTTGACGCCCTGGCATAGACTTTGAAAATTCTTTTAAAAAAAAGGCAAAACATTAGCCAGGCTCTTCATTAGTCACAATTAATATTTAAACCACAATGATTTACATTTCATAACCACTAAGACAAGAAGTACTGATAAGTAACAAAGCAAATGCTGAGTTTGAGGACTGGCCCTGTAACATATTTGGAAGAAGGTGATTAAGATACAAGATCAAAAGGCAGAAATGGGGAGGAAAAATAAAGACAAGGTAACTCAGTGACCTAAAAACTCGAACAATTAAGAAATTTTAGACCTTCAAAATGTAAAGTTTCATGACATTTAAAAAAACTAGGATATGGAAATCAATTACAGAGACTTTGACTATAGACATACACGAGTGAGAAATGGTATATTTAAATATTTACATTTGCTTTTTGATGGAGAACTAATGTAATCAGAAGGACAGAACTTATTTGCCACATACCTGGAACTCCTATGTGAACTGAAGAGGCAGACAGGAAAAAGAGTCCAGGCCCTGTCTTCTAGAGACAGAGAAATCAGAGTACCAGCCTATGGCACCTCAGTTTAAATCCAAACCCTCGTGTCCTTACGACCACTCTTCTTATAGAATAGCTATTTCTCAAGCATGCTTGGAAAGCATCAAGAGATAAAATCTGCTTAATAGATACTTTCATTTAGAGCAGCGGTTCTCAACCTGTGGGTTGCAACCCATTTGTTGGCCAAACGACCCTTTCACAGAGGCCGCCCCATTCATAACAGCAGCAAAATTAGTTATGAAGTAGCAACGAAAATGATTTTATGGCTGGGGCTGGGGGGGGGGTCACCACAACATGAGGAACTGTATTAAAGGTTTGCAGCATCAGGAAGGTTGAGAATCAATGATTTAGAGACTCAAATTTGTATCCCTTTTTGGCACCATTCTAGCTGTAAGAATTGAAAAAACAAAAGCCAACAAAAAAAACCCGGTCTCCCAACTCAAACCACCACTGTCAAGTCAATTTACTCAATTGCTTGCAGGGTAGAACTGCTCCTGTGAGTTTGAGGCTGCACCTCTTTACGCCAGTAGAAAGCTTCATCTTTCTACCCAGGAGTGGCTGGTGGTTTTGAACTGCTAACCTTGTCATTTGCAGCCCAATGCATAACCCCCTATGGCCAAATTCTTTAGTCTGGGATTGATTTCTCATTTGTAAAATAGCAGTCCCATTTCTGTACCACATTGCTAGGAACAACTAATTAGAAAACGATGTGAAAGTAACTATTTTAAAGCTTTAAGTTTTCTCTTTTTGTGACCCTGGCACAGTCACACGTGCTCTCATTCCCGCAGCTCCCCATGGGGCCTCCCGAGGTGTTGTAAGGACTGGAGGTGATCCAGGTGAAAAGTCTTATAAGGATATAAACTACTAGATAATGCACGGTATTATATATGGAGCTAAGGTCTCCAAAAACAGCTGTTTGTTGAAATTGTGCCTTTTTAATGACTTCTAATTCATAATGGGGAATCAGTAAAAGAAATGGAAAGCTAGTTACATAAAAACTAGAATAAGAATTCTGGAAAGTAATCCTTATTTTTCAAACCCTCTGAATGACCATAAAGGGGCAAAGTAAATAGTCCTGGTATTGTAGAGAGATCAGAAGACTTAGGAACAAATAATCACATTAAGAGTGATTGGTGCAATCAATAGCAGTAGCTAAATACAGGAGCAAATAATTAGGAAGTGAAAGCTGAGATTTTGTTTTTAGCTGGATTTTGAAGGATGAATGAATTTACCAGCCAAAGTTTGAGGGAAGAACGTTCCAGACTAAGGTACAACATGTTCAATGCATGGCCTTCCAAGTTCAAGATTTTAAATTGCTAGACAGGGGGTTACTGAAAATGAGGATGGAGAAAGAGGCCTGGCCTATCACAGAAGACCTTCATTCTATTCTGAAGGGTTTTTTGAGCAGATATGACTTTTAGAAAGTGAACACTAGTTTCAATGTTAAGGTTGGGAGGGTTAAGAGTGTGGAAGCAGATTACTGTGACAGTCCTAGTAAGTGTTGAAAATTCTATCATGAACTAAGCCAAGCCCACTCAGTCATTACCTTCTATCACTACATAGTACTACCCAGTTGAATTCATTTTACCAAGCCAGTTTGAGCTTCAAAGCACAACTGTTTGGATGCGAAAATGAAGCCTGAGGACTTCACAGTGGCAATCACACTGGCTCCTCAAATTAATTCATGCGGTTCTAATAAGGCATCACGCGATAACCGAGATTCTGCTTTATTAAAGTCTGTCCAATCATTCCCTGCAACACTGCCAACCTTACTGGATGAGATAGCATAGATTTCACTTTAAGGCCAGCGTATGTACAATCTCTCTAAAAAGGCATACCAAAAAAAGAAAAAAAAAGTATCTAGAGACAATTACAACCAGTTCGCTAACTCAGTAGATTTAAATAGTGTTCACCAGTGTTTTTATTTCTTGTGAACCCACCGGCGGGGCCCAAGGATAGCACCAGCCGGGTCCGATCCTCCTTACCGGATTCCACGGTCTCCTCGCCTTCTGGCAGAAGCCTGGCTTTCTTAGCATTCTGGGGGGCATCGTCGCCATTGTCCTCATATATGTTAGACCATTTGATTGCCATATCCAGCTCTGGGGGTGGCGGTTTCTTCTCCGTCGTGTAGCTCTCGGGAGGTGGGACAAAATTTGACTTCCATATTTTGAATTCTTTGGGAGGCTGTTAAGCAAACACATGAAGCAGCACTGTGACAAACCCCGGTTCCCAGGACGGTCGGTCGGAGCACATGCACCTCCCTGCCGTCCGCTTCTCTCTCAGACTGACTTTTGTTTTTAAGGTTTAACGACACATCTTTCCATCACATCACAATACTGCTAAGTGAAGTCAAAGGGCTCCCTAGAGGAATAAAGCTAATAACTTTTAGTTACCAAAGCGGAATCCAGTCCCAGAGACACTACGCCAAGGCTGACCCCTCCAGGAGGCTGCAGCAGACACTGTCTTGGAGGCAGCACCGCAGGCACTTCGGCGTCAAAGGGAAGGGGTGTCGGGGAGAAGCTGCAGCGGGGGGCGGGGGAGTCACCACCGTTAGTCCTCGCCGCGCGGGGTCGGGGCACCGAGGGCGGAGGGCTGCGCCTCCTCCACGGGGCCAGGGCTGCGGGGCGGGCTGGGGCGGGGACCCGGGCGCCCAGGGCTGGGAAGGGAGAGGGGCTCGGGTGGCATCCCGCACAGGGTGGGTGGATGGGTGGGTGTGAGGGAGCGGACAGCAGGTCCCCAGGAGAGGCCCAGCAGAAAGGGGAAGATGGCCGGGACCAAGAGCAGGACACGGGGTCAAGGACCTCACCTCCTCAGGCGCCTTCACCACGTGCCTCTCCCAGTCTATCTGCTTGTTGAGCGGATTGTACAGAAAGGCCGGCCGAGTCACGCTCCGGAACAGCTCGTCGGGTCCCGGCAGCCGCTTCTCCGCCTTGTTTCCACAGCCGCTGGCCGATTTCGCTGGATCCGGGGCCTGCCGACTCGCCTCCTCCGGCTCGCTGTTGTCCTCCTCATCCGAGGAGCCAGAGCTGCTGCTGCCGTAGGCTGCGAAATAACTCAGAGGATCCTTCTCGTCGGCTGCCATGACGGCCGCACAATCTGACTGAGAACGCCGCCGGAAGCAGGAAGTCGTTCGAGGGCCCGCCCGCGGCTGGCCCCGCCCCAGGTCGTCTGACTGCGTGGTTGGTGGCCTCCGCCCCCTGGCGGCCGTGCGGCGCTTCTACGCCGGCTTAAAGGAAACCCGGCACTTTCCCAACCAGGAGCTGATTTTGAGCCAGAGATCATTACTGGGGAGCCGTGAGAAAAAAAGTGCCAGGACCCTCAGAATTCAATAAAGGCATAAAAGGTATTTATTGAAGGTATAATAGCTGAGAATTTTGTCTTTTACTGCCATTCCACTTTTAACTTTTACTCTGAGAAGCCAGGATTTCTTCCTGATCCTGGTATCACCTCTTCCAAATAAAAACCACCCAGTGTGCTTCCCTAAATATAGGAACCCTGGTGGGGAAGTGGTTCGCATTCAGCTGCTAATAGCAGGGTCAGCAGTTCGAAACCACTAGCCGCGCCATGGGAGAAAGATGAGGCTTTCTATTCCTTCCATGACTTAGTCTTGGAAGCCTGCAGGATCAGTTCTACCCTGCCCCATAGGGTCTCTATGAGACAGATTCCACTAAAAACCAGCCAGTTGAGTTTCCCTGCAGTCATGGAAGGCCACTAGGAGTGCTAGACCTCCCAAGTCACAAACCAAATTTTTCTCTGCTTGACCTCCCTCAGGGGTATTTTGAGCAACCTCTCCTAGATAAACTCCTCTTGGATTACAGCCATCCCATCACGGATGTCTTCCAACCTCTTTTGCTGCTCATTGTGGGCCTCCTGCTATGCCTGCATTGCTGTGTGAGGCCCCTTGCACTTTATTTCCCAATATTTAGACTCGGGTGTGACTAAGTTGTTGTTGCTGTTAGATCCCCACCTGTGGATTCCTATTCACATTCCTGGTTTCCAGCTCAGTGCCTGTATGGAAGTGCTGCTGGTAGTGCTGTTGGGTTGGTTCTGACTCAGTGATCCTATGGACAAAACCCTGCCCAATGCCATGCAATTGTTGTTTGAGCCCATTTTTGCAGCCACGAAGTCTCCTGGGAATATATCCAAAGTACATGGGATGACGCCTCACCAACCTTTTTCTACGGAACATTCTGGCTGTAGTTCTTTCAGTACTGTGGGGAGTAGGAGAGTCCCACACAAACCACAGGTCTGGTGGCACAATTGTACAGCGATAATAAGTAAAGATTATAGTAAAGTCATAGAGAGCATGAGAGATAGAGGAGAGATTGGATTAATGGAGTCAGCCACAATTCATGGTAGCATGCTCACCTCAGCCCCGCTTGGTGGTCCTTGTGGGGGGAGCCCGGCCACAAGAGCAGGAGAGCCCTCGGGCCCGAGCGGGGGAAGAGCTTTTTCTTTATTGCTAACCAAGGGTTATATCTCATTAGGGGGACATGATTACAGGTAACCACATGTCACAGGAAGGGGCAGTACATTGGGCATACACATTGTAGGAAGGGAATCTAAGATAGGCATAAGCGTAACAGGAAGGGGATGAGCTAGGGGGGTGACCATAGGAATGGGAAGGTCTAAGTGTATACATGTGACAAGATGGGCGGACCCTAGATTCATGATGGCGGCCTAACCTTGGTCATCCTTGGGCGGGTTTGACCTCTCCAGTGTCTCCTACAAGAAAACAGACAACTACTATCCTTATCAGAAGGGAGTGGGCTCTACTCGTTGTGGGATAAACAGTGGTGTCTGCTTGGTCTAGATGGC